GCAAGGTTCATTTGAATCCAACTTGCTCGGGCATGCACGTACCTATGTCGAAAGATATTTGTCCCAAATGTCTGTCCTCATTGAAGAAGAATAAGAAGGCTTAAAGTCAGCCAGTTCGTTTCGAGCTTTGTGTCCAAGAGGGGGCGAAGAAATTCCATGCCGGGATGTCCACCTCGCTCGATGCTTGCAGTTTGCGATGCATAAATTTCGTTTAAGTTTTTTGTGAAAGATTTGGAACCTGGCGGTAGTACAACATTTTGTTTCTTAATTGTTTAAAAGCGATTTGTAGCGTAGTCGGAAGTTTTGAAACAGTTCTTTGCGTGTGGAGATACTGTAAGAGACTTTTAATATGTTTTTCGTGTGTTCTTTGTATAGTTTAGTGCTACGGGATATGTTTTGGCTCAAGGCCAATTCGTTCGGCTAGTGTGAGAAAAGAGTGCGAGTGTCTGAGAGCAGCTTGCGCAGCGTTTGAAGTTTTCCGAAGTGTTCGGAGGTTTGAAGGAAAGGTTTCGTACCGTACCGGACGAGTGTGAGAGCTTGTTGTGAGCTAAAGATCCAGGGGAGGTAGGTAGTCTACCGTGTAAGGTTGCTACCCGGGGTTTTTCGAACTTCATCGTTCGCCAGTACTTCACCCAGGCGGAGCACAAGGGTAGTTGCGGCGCAGAGTCAAAGCCATCTGAGCACCCTCGGACGACGCCGATCGAGTGCTACCTCATGCCTTCTCGCACGTCGCAGACATTCGACATGTACGGCCTGTGAGAATTCCAAACGTTTGGTCCAAGTGTGCACGGACATCAGTGGCATGGGAGTCCACCTTCTTTTACTGTGTGGCCCTGGTCGATTTCTGGCTCCCGCCAAAGCTCAGGCGAATTGGCAAGGAAGCCTTTCTCTGCTGTACCTCGCTCCGAGAAGTCATTGTCCCGCCAAGACTCCACTATTTGGCTAACAGAGCCTTCTGTGGTTGTGAGCAGCTCATGCAGTTGCCAAGTTGGATGATGCTGCTGCATGGAGGGGCCTTTGTGGAGAAAGTAATGCTTTCTTGGTGTGTAGCAAGTTCAAGCGTCCATCGTGGATCAAGCTTCTCCCACCGAGAGACGCCGATTCAGATGCCTTCGACGAAGAACTGCGCAAAGGGCTGCGCTAGAAGGACAGTTAAAACACAAGAGTAGAGCCCGTGCTTGGTGAGAGCCTTAGCACTCGTCTTGGGCAATGGGACTTAAACGAGATGTCACCTATGTTTCATAATCTTTTCACGCATTTCGCACTCAAGCCTTTCGCGTCTAAGATTACATGACGTAGGAGGATGGTCTAACCCCAATTCCAACAATGGAGAAGCAAGTGAAAAAGACTGCTGCAAGGTTAAGCTGGCTCAAGCGAATTCGTTGGCAACGAGATCCTTTGCAGGCTAATCTTCCAATAGCGACTACTCGTGCCTCGGGCACGAGTACTTCAGAAGAGAGTGAAACAACCATGGACTGTCGCCTATTGCTCACTACTTTGTCTGGCAAAGAAGTCGAAGTGTCAACAAACATCGCCCAATATGACAGATTCGAATATTGTTGAGCACCTTGCAACTGTTACGGATCTAGACGTCTCTTGGGAAGCCTTGCAAGAGAACAGACATTTCACCATGGTGTTTCGAGATTGCGTCGAAGCCTTCCAAACAAAAGAGGACTTCGAAGATTGCGCGTACCGAGACATCCCGAAAGCAGTCAAGGTTCCAGCCAATGAATCGGGGATTATCCCACAGAGTGCGTTCATTGCGGTCCCGCTCATGCGCCATGTCATCATTGAAGCAGGCATACATGCTGTTGGGTCACGAGCTTGGCAGAACTGTCGTCACCTCCGAATCGTCAAGATGCCGACCACAGTTGTGCGTATCGAAGAGAGTGCCTTTCGTGGGCGCCGTTGGCTCAACAGCATAACAGTGCCAGGCTGCACTGATTTTGGGTATAAAGCTTTTGCCGACTGCTGCTCGCTACAGTGGGTCCATGCCAATGGAGTCAACAATATCGGTAGTGCAACCAAGCTTGGACACAATCTTTTTGTTGATTGCATCAATTTAGCTACCATGACAATCCTGCAAGACGGTCGTGACTCGAACTTGCCAACGTCTGGGCCACGTCGAGAGCTTCCGACGGGATGCTTTTGTTCGACAGGGTTGAAAGAACTCCAGTTACCCCGAGACTTCTATGAGCTGGGAGCCCATGCCTGTGATAATTGCAAACTGCTTACCTATCTGGACATTTCGGACACCAACATCGAAGAAATTCGAGAGTTCACTTTCGTGCTCTGTACCAGGCTCCATGATGTCCGTCTTCCATACACAGTACACACAATGCATGTGAAGGCCTTTATGGACTGTGCCGCGTTGCAAGAACTCGCCATCCCACCCTCACTGCACTACATTGCCAGTGGGGCGTTTCTCGATTGCGCAGTCTTGCGGAGACTCACGAGGATGCCAGGCCAAAGAACTACGTGGAGAGGGACGTACGCTGAAGAAAACGCATTTGCGCTTTGCCCTGCATGGCGATGGCCGCAATGGCTGCATATGATCCAAGATCTAGGATGTGTGTCGGACTTGGGCTAAGTCCATAAGAAACACAGCATCAATGTTAAGTACCAATTTCGAAAAGAATTGCGAATTCACATCCACATACTATACATGGTTCTAGAAGGTCTCATTGCCAGAAACAACTATCCCATTCGCACTCCATTGCACTGCCTGCATACCCTTTCTCGATTGCGCACTCCTAAGGTAGTTCATGAGGTGGTCAGGCCAAACAAAGTGGAGAGGGGCATCTGCTGATCACACTGCTTTCGAATTTTTTGAAGTCTGCCTCGCACGGCGATGGCCCTTGAGGCTGTGCAGGACTCTATCCAGGCTGATGCCTCGCAAATCAGAACCATGCCCAGCATAAGTCCATATGTGCCGCAGTGGACAATGCTGACGGTAAAGCATTTCGACTGCCCTCTCCAGCCTCAATGGAAGGGAAGATAGCAGCTTTGAGTCGAAAATGATTTCTGCCAAATATGCCCATACTAGTGCGCTGCTAGTGAGCTGGCCCGGTTGCGAGCCTTAGCTTTCGACCGGTGTCCGCGCGCGACGGTAGGAAGGTAGCTGATTGGCACCCGGGTGAGAACCTTAGTTCCTCGCCTGGTCAGGGACCGTACCCTGCCAATCTTGTACAAAGTGGGCATATAGCACCACGCTAGCCTTTTCACGTTTCACAATGTTTCACAAAGGCCATGCATGAACGAGGCGACCGACTGATGAATGACAACTCTATCCTCCCTGGATATCATCTCGCGCACTTCCCGCACTCCCGTAGGCTTTGCTGTTAAGGAGCCTGCTGGATATGTGCGCGACCCTCCCTCTGTTGAGGGAGGTTTCGTCAGGCGCCTGCTGGCGCACTTGCAAGCAATGCCCTGCATCGGCAAACGCCCACCACAGGCCACAGTTTCTTCTGGCATTGCAATTGTGTGAAATGATTGTGACCAGATGCTGACTGTTTTCCAAGGCCAGAAATGCATTGCACTCGAGCACGTTCATGATAACCCGCACTCCTTGGGAATGTCAGGCACTGCTTTCCCATTCGCAGACTGCTGAATTGACATCCTGCCCTACCAATGCTGGAGTTGGAGTGCTTTTCGAGCACTCCGGTGGCAAGCGCCTGTGATCAGGCCAGTCCGAACTAAGCCTGAACGCACAAAGCCACTCCACAGGCATGAACAGCAGCTTAACCGAGAATTCGAGGCCCGGGTAGCTAGTTGCAGCAGTTCCCATGTTTCACCATGTCTCACCCTTATGTACAGAGCGAAACTCTGCAGGTTCTTGCTTGGGGGCTTTTTGTTTGGTGTTTTGTTTGTGTTTTGGTTTGTTTTGTTGTTTTGGTGGTCTTTCCCCGCTCTTTTAACATGCAGAGTCTCCACTTTTAGAAATATGACCTGTGCATTCCGCACACATGGCGTCTCCACTCGTGGAAAAAAAACTCTACAGGCACATGGACAGCAGCGTGAAATTGAATTCGAGGCCCAGATAGCTAGTTGCCACAGTTCCCTCGTCTCACCGTGTTTCACCAAGATGTACAGAGCTGAAACTTTGCAGTTTCTTTTTCTGTGGGTTTGTGTGTTGTTGTGGGGCCTTTTGGGGGTTTGGTTTGTTTTTTTCTGTTGTGTTCTGGTTCTTTATTTGAACTTGCAGAGTTTCTACCTTTAGCAAAGATGACCTGTGCACACCGCACACATGGCGTCTCCACCCGTGCAAAAAAAATGCTTGAATTTGGTGAGTCGGTCACCGTGTTTGCCCACTTGGCTGGGATCCAAACCAGGAAATGGTGGTTGCAACGAAGCACCGTTGTTTCATTGTACCATCATCGATTTGGATCATCCTGACTGGTTGCAGTTGGTCGTTTCACAAAATTCTAGCAAGGGTTTTATTTTTTTGTCTGTTCTCATGTTCATTCTATTTCGATCTCTCTTCATGGCAGTTGTCATGAAACTATCACAAAAAGGAAACTGCGGTGAAACTGTTTGTTGATTTGCCATTCCCACAACTCTTGCTTTGCTGCTGAGCCTGCCAGCGCTTTGAAACAACATGCTGAGCCTGCAACTCGCTCGTCCGAGTCACCGTTGCAAGGGCAAACCGAGGAGTGCGGCTTCTGGAGTGTTATTAAATCAATATTTTTGTAATTTTCAATTGTTTCAACGTTTTGTATGGAGGGTTTTGAGGTCTTGGACATCATAAACAGTACAATTTGTGTGACTCTGCAGTTGTTTGGGTGCTTGAAACCCTTGTTTTCAGGAGTTGGAAAGACACCGGGACCAGCGATCTTTTTGCTCAGAATTTAACAAAAACAAAAAACACACTTTGCCAAACCAACTATGGAGTGTGGGTTTCACCACGGGCATAGTGACAGTCATAGATCCAGCAGCACATTAAACGAGCCCAGCAGCTTATCCATTGCGATCTTGGTTGTCCCTTTGCTCTTGGATTCATGGACACCTTGGCCGATCAGACGACTTTCACATGCGCACAGAGGTTCTATGCATTGATGGCCATGTGCAAACGTTTGTTCGGCCTGAGAAATCATCAGAGGTTCTACGGCCATGTTTCTTCGGCCTTTTCCGAGCAGAGCGATGGTGGAGTTGATCAATGGGTCTGGCTCGGCACGGTTCTGACCGAGCTTGCAGGTCTGACAGAGCTGTCACGGTTCCTGTCGCAAGGCCACCATTGGGTTGATGATCTGCCCTGTCCTCCAACCACAATCCACTATCCTGTACTACTTGAAATCCACAACCATTATCATTAAAGGATTTTACCTGTTTTGTTCAGGGCTTTAAGCATCAACCATAGCGCAGCATTCGGGAAACCACCAAATCTTTTGGACCAATCGCAAGGATCCAAAACAGCGGGCAGTGGCCAGAGCTTCCGAAGCACCTTAGGTTGGGACTCACCGAATCCGTGCCCAAGCTCAGTTTGTGAGCGTGAACACTTCTCCGGAGCCATTTGTTTTTGTTTCTTTTCCCTTTTGGGGCTCTGACGCTTCCAGCAGTTCAGTGCTGCTGCAGTGCGGCCGGGCAGGATGGATGTCTTCGAAGATGGTGCAATGTTGGACGGTGGACGACAATTGCTATTCAAAAGAGAGATAGAAAACGGAGTCGTCCTGACGACATCTGTTGCAGCCGATATTTGTTGCCCGCGGGCTGTCCATGTCCGTGGACAGCTTTGTCAGACTTTTCACTTTTGTTCGTGTAGCTTGCGAAAGGTGAAGAGAAAACCGACTGACACATGCGAGTTGCCTTTGAAAGACCTGAAAACAACATCCAATCGGCACTCGAAACTCAAAAAGACTTCAGCACAGTCGCTCAAACTGAGATTCCTTGTCCTTTGGGGCTTTGTTCAATTCGCTTTGTTTGTTGTCCGAACGAACAGAGCGCGCGCGCCATGGCCGCCAGGTGCGCTTTGTTCCAGGTGTTCGGATCTGAAGAAGGCCGAGGTCAAAGGCGGTCGGGGAAGATGTGGAGTGGAGCTGATGCGACCATGTGACGTCCCTTTTTCTCTCAATCTCTCTGACAAGGGGTCTTGGGGCATGTTTTTGGGGTCTTGGGTGGTTCAGCATGGATTTGTGCCTCGAAGTCTGGGGGGATGTGATTCATGACCATTCAAAAACGATCAAGTACAAACATGAAACGCAAGCGGTGCTCTGTTTGTCTGTGTGTGTGGACTTCACGCTCTTCAATCCAGAAGCTGCCTCCGTGAGGTGCGTTTGGGATTCGCCCGGAAGACTTGGAGGAACGTGGGACCCGTGGGACTGTCTGATCGATTTCAGTGCCGGACCGATGATCAGGTGTTGGTTTGCTTCAACCATTAAGGTTGGCACCTATTTGCGGGGAACCTGTTCGGTCCAGGATGAAGCGGAGCCTGCGGGCGGTTCCGAAGATGAGCGGTGCGGGTGCCTGGTGCATGCGGGTGCCCAACGGGCACCGGTGACCACCGAAGAGGGTCGCCGGTGGGGTGGCTGGGTTAGACAGTGACGCCCCCGGCTTTGGCTCATTGGTGGAGGCGTTCTTGGTATCGCAAGAAGAGCGAGCGGGTCGCGGTTGTGAAGATACTCCGTTTTCTACAAATCGTATTTACTGTTGGGGTTCTCTCTTAGGAACAAAGGGCTGGCCATGATGGCAGTGTCCGCGACGTCCGCCCTTTCTTCTCCTCCTTGGTCCTTGTCCGGGCCTTCTCCAGGCCTTTTCCGAGTTTGTGTGTCCTGCTTGTCCGCGTTGTCGGCCCTCTTATCACCGCCTTGTCCGGGCCTTGTCCCTTGCTTGGCCACGCCGTTTTTCCTATCTCCACCGGCCTTGTCCGGTTTGTTTTCTTGTGGCCATCCATGCAACATCCTGTTCCGAACAATCGTTTCTGTCTACACATGCACGCTGTTCTCAAACAGCTGGGAACTGCAAGAGTATACTGTGATTACAGATGTTTCCATCAACATTGGAATATCAGGAATGGACGTAAAAAGAACCTCTGCTGAAAGTGTTTGGGGTCTATGGCACTATGCAGGTAGTATATATATATATATTGTTCAATGTCCGGCCACCGAAGCCGACCTGCTCAGCCCAGGTCGGAGGCCGACTTGCAGTCCGAGGCGCGCGGCAGTGTTTAAAATTGGGCGGGGGTCGGGTGAGAGGAGGTGGGAGGCAGGTCGGGTGGCTTTTGCAGTGGGTGTTTGGTGAAGGACTTGTCGGTACAGGTGGGAACACTCAAGCTCGCGGTCGGTCAGGGTATCCCTGATAAATCACACACCTTGTAGTGGAGAGTGATGAATCGGATGCCGAAATCAGGTCACGTCATGCCCAGATCTATTGATTTAGTTTGAGGAGCCGGACCACTCTGGGCGCATCATACAGATCCTGCAGTGAGTTCTACACTCCTGCTCCTCCAGCCTCCAGCTGTTGCGCTTTGCCGGCCGCTCTTGTCGGTGCGGAGGCGGGGGAGACCGCAGAGGAAGCTCGAGAGGCAAGCCATGGGTGAGTGATGGCTTAAGGCAGGAGGTTCCATGGGCTAATCTCGCCTGAACAAAACGAAAGCGAGTTGATTTGTGTAGCTTTGGACAACGAGACAGAACACAATCATTTTTTAGATGTATCCGAGACAGAACGATCTCAGTGGGTGAAGACTGCACAAAATGGGAGCAACACTCACTGCATGGTTTTGGACCATTTGGGGGTTCCCGTTGAGATGAAGCTGGTCTTCATGCTCGAAAGTGTTGTGCATGGAACGTGGTAAGCGAATGTATGGCGTTGCTGCTTTGTTTAATAAAATCTTTCATTGGCGAGAGCCTGTTTTCAAAATTATAAAGAGTAAAAAAGAGTCAACTTAGTAGTCAGTCCCAAAAGTCAAAGTCAAAAAAAGTAACATCAGACAGTTTCAGAAGTCAAAAAAGAGTCAATTGGCCCAGATCCGATTTTTTATTTATATACTTATTATTTCTTTTCCGACATATATATATATATATATGTCTATTTTTTTATTTCTATTTTTGAGTTGTTTCCTTTTTTATTTTTTTTTTTGACTTTTATGTGAGTTTTTTCTTGGACATTATTTTTTCGAGTTGTGATACATTTTTGATTTTTGTTTTGACTTTTTTTGGGTCTTGATCGAGTTTTCTAATGTTGTCCTTTTTTGACTTTATATATTTTTTTGGACCTATTTTTTTTGGAGACTTTTTGAGTTGTGATTTACTTTCGATCTTTTTTCAACACATTTTTTGGAGACTTTTCAATTTGACATATTTTTTTAGCTTTGACTTTTTCATTTGATTCTTTTTGACTTGTCTTTTTTTTTTCAACCTTTGTTTAAATCAAGGATTCTGGCCTTACCATATGAAAGAATGTTTTAATGCTTTGGTTTTCTTAACTCACCCCCTGAGGGTATCCAGAAGCTCCTCGAGGAGACTGGCAGGAGATGCACGGAGTGCTTGACTTCTTGAGTTTGGGACTGCAGAGAATCCTCGCTTAAAAGCTCCACGTCCGATCGGGGAACTTTGACGAAAGGTATTTCTTTTTGGGAAAAGACGTTGGGGTTGAAGCCCATTGACCAGATGGGACGAGGTGAAAGCCACCTGTTGAGTGACTTCCTCTTCAGCTCTTGAGTCTAATAGAGTCTATGACCTATAGAAATTTGACAGCATAGACCCCGAACAGTGTCAGCAATCAGATTCTTAAGTATCAATTCCTTGAATTCTAATGTTGGTGGACACTTTTGCAATTATATACCTATTTTCTGTTTAGCCTCCAGCTGTTAAACAGAAAACGTTTGACAACAACAGTTCCTGATGTCTGAGTCACATGTGAAGAACGAGGGGATATATATATATATTTATATGTCACATGTCTGAGGATGATAGCAAATTTGAAGCTCCGCATCACTGTTGCATTCATAGCCACGCAAAAACATACCTGGTGGATAAAAAATAGCGGCGTGGCCAAGCAGCGGACAAGGCCCAGACAAGGCTGTGGTAAAAGGGCCGACAACGTGGACAAGCAGGACAGACAGACCTCAACAAGCCCCGGCCCGGCCAAGCAGGACACACAAACCTGGACAAGGCTGCGCGGCCAACAGAACGTAAACCGTTTTTGGAACAAGAGGAGGACACAGGCGGCCAAAAACAGCAGGAGGGCACCAAGAGGCTCAAGGACAAGAAGGTGGCACAAAGTTGGACGGCGGACAAGAAGAGGACACGACGAGGACACCAGGAGAACAAGAAGAGGACACCAGGAGGACCAGAGGAGGACAAAACTTCCCCAGGGAAGGTGTAACAAGGTTATCGAGTGGTGAACTTGAAGAACACCCGCCTCACTTGTTCAAATGGGGTTGAACTTCCTCTAAGAACCACGGACCCCCTAATGGTTTGCGAACAATTTTTTCTCGTTCTTTTTTGTATTTTTATTCAGTCTTCTAGATATGTTGAGTGCGAAAGCCTTGCTTCAGACTCAGACACTGCACAAACAGAGTTCTTTTTGGCTTCCCCAAAGCAAAACCATCCCAGGTGTTTTCTCTAGAGGTCTGAAATCTGGTCTGGTGAGCGCAAGACTGGTCACAAGAGGCGTGAAATGTTTGCAGTGAAGCGCACTAAACTAGAGATAGTAGGCTCAAAATCCTTGGTATTGTAGAGTTCAAGGGTCCCATCAACGGATTTCCATCAAATTCACCGCGTCCAGGACTTTGCAGAGGGGACCGGACCCCAGTGACATTGCCGGACAGCGGAAAAAAACCGGGCTAGCTGCTCGTGGCGTGTTGGGCCGTCCAGCCAAAGCGTGGCGAAGTTCGTTCGCTTCGGACTTCGGCTGCTGGAGACAGGGGCACCCGGGACCCGTTGAGTTCGTTGAGGCAGGTCTTGTGGATACGAAGCCATGCCAACGGGCTGACGGTTTCTTGCGGTGCTTGGCTCTGTCAGATTTCGTCGGGCGAAATGGGCCAGAAATCGGTGGGGCGCAGGCCCAGTGCTTTCAGATCCTTCGAATCTGTTCCCTTTGCCAAGGGTCTGTTGAGACTAAGCATTTTGAAGGCCCTCGACGGCCGCCACGAGTCGAGACTCGTCGTCACTGGGGACTCGATTATGTCTCAGGTCGGACCCTGGCGATGAAAGAGGCCATCAGTGCTGTGCCTTGGTTCGATTTGGTTGGGGGGAAGGTTTTTTTGAAATACCCAGTCAGTCAGACCCAGTAGTTTTGTCGGGACAAGGCATGCGTGAGCGACGAGCCAACATGTCACGAAAGCGAGCTCAGAAGGAGCTCAGCGGAAGTTGTTGTTTACGAAATATGGTGAGGCTCAAAATTGAAAGGTTCAGTGAACTAATTGATTCTTTCAATTAAAGGGAGGGGTCAGCCGAGGGGGGGGGGGCCCCTTCCGTTTTATTGATTCTTTCAATAACCACACCCTCCCTCGCAAAAGAATTGATATTTCAATTGCAGATTGAAACGTCTAAGGGGGGGGCCCTCCCCCCCCTGTAAAGTGAATTGAAAGAGGCTATTCGACTCCTCGCTCGTCCTTGTGAGAAAGCATACCAAACGCGTAGAAAAGACAATATGAACGTCGAGATGTTTTTTAAGTGTTCGGTTGACTCATCCAACAACACTTTGCGCTCGTGGCACAAAAGCGTTGCGTTGCTGCCCTCCCTCCGCGTCCCCTTGATCCTTCCACACCCCTCGCTTTCGTCCCCACTGTCCTCAAGTTTTCACTGGTTTGTTCCGCAATGTCAGAGGTGACTACCAACGTGAAGTGGTATTCATGGTGGTGTTCATGCCCGGCTGCTGATGGCTTTTTTGTCAGCTTTGATTGCTGGCTTTCCAGCTTGGGTGTTTCCCAAGGCACGGCAGCATGGAGTGGAGAGCAGTCTCATCAAGGAGGTGGGGTTCCTGTTGCGTTTTTGGAGTGAACAGGTCCGTCTTCACGCTTTCGCCAGAGCCTCCTGACGGCAACCCACGAACTTACACAGAGTCGATGCAATTGCCAGATGAGTTTGGACAACACATTTGCATGCTGTACAAATCGGAGCGTCCGAATTATGGCCAGCGTCCGAATTATGGTCAGCCAGGAGGACTTGAGTCTGCATTGAACCCATTGGAGGCGTTATATAGGTCCGTTTAGGTATCATTTGATTGAAAGGTTCTCCATGTGAGGTTCCTCGTCGCTTCTCGCCCGATCCGTGGCCGGTGGGTCCAGGCCCAGCAGCGCTTGGAGCATCATCAGCTCCGGCAGAAGCGTGCCGAGTGCGAAAAGGAGGCCGGGGCAAGGAGGGCTGGGAGCTGAAGTGGTGGGTGCGCCAGCCTTAGTGGATGATTTCGTTGCTGTTGATTGTTTTCCCCATATTCCATAAGCCTGGAAGTCCAAGACCACTTTTAGAACTGGTTGATCTGGTTTTGTAGTGTAAACTCCTTAATGGTTGTTCGGCAAAGGCTATTAACGTTTGTAAGTAAAATGTGGATTCGACTTCTAGGGGTAAGCTGTGAAAAAGGTGGACTTGTTTGCATGGACGACCCAGAGGTGTCGCTGTGGTTTGCCTCTGCTGCCCAAGACCTTGAGCAGTGCGGGAGGTGGGGAAGGGAAGGAGCGCAGCGAAGCGCAGCTCCGTTGGCCTCGGAACACGGAGTTCCTTTTTTCAATAGATGTGGCAAGGTGAGGGTTCTTTCCTTTAGGCAGATTTGGGTATAGAACCCGCTGCTAGGGAAAGGCAGTCTTTTGGGTGAGGTTCGTTTTTGAAACAGGCTTTTGGAAGCAGCTGTGCAGAGTCAGTGCGCAGAAGAGGCCGGGGATCAGGGTTTTGGCCTTATTTGCCCAGTTCATGATTCAACATGGATGCGGAAAAAACAGAACCTCCACTTGGCCCATTTTGGCATGCTTTTGCTTGTTAAAACTTGAGGGTTTGCCAAGCTTGCCATTTACTGTATCTGCCGTTCTATCAGCGGTTTTTGGTCGGGGTCCTTTGCTGCTTGGGCTCCATGGATTCCAGAAATCACTACAACTACAAGCTGTCTTTTGTATCCCTCCCGCTTGGATGCTCATGTCGCAGGTGAATCACTCTAAGCATGAACCCATGAAGCTGGCTCATATATCTATCTATAAATATATTTATCTATAAATATATATATATATATGGTACTCCCCCAAAAAACCAACGTTTTCAGACAAATAGGGGAGGTGGGGGGTACCAACAAATCTGAATCAAGGTCAAGGGCAAGTGGAGGTGGCAGCTTCCAAAGTATGTTCGTATTGCTACGCGCAAAGTGCCTGGCACTAAGACGGTTCTGAAGGTCAAAGCCGGCACTCAGGTCATCGACCGGGCCTGGCGATATCTCAAAGATCGGATTGTCTTGAACCAGAACTGTACAGCAGGTTCGAAGCGCCTTCGCTCCAAATTGCGTTCTGCGCAGTACCTGTACTGGTATAGACAGAAAGATCTTTGGGAAGCGACCGGAGAGCTGTGCACTTGGGAAATGAGAAATTTCCTAAGAACAGCGTAGTGCACTTTGATCGCTGATGAGATCTGCAAGGCAAAATGAGCTGTTTGTGCCATTGCATCCAAAGGCTTCATCTGTTGGCCATCAAGAACAAATCTGCTTTCAATACACTTATCAATTTATCATCAAGGACAACTCTCACACACAAGCAAGAAATTTGTCGGAAACGTTGGTTTGGGGGGTAGCATATATATGCATATACAAAAATGTGTACATGTATATATATATATATATATCTATTTTCATACTCGAATGGTATCCACCGGTCCACCATGGGGCAATCCATGTTCAACCGCAGCAATGGATCTCGAGGCCCCCATTTACCTTTTCCATGGCCCGTTGGGTGAAACATGTTGCGCTTGCTACCGCGTTGTCGCTTCTTTTGTTTGCTGCCCGAGTTGGTAGCGGAGCCCTAAGTGCTCCAGGGCCCACCTTCGAATGCTTTAGTCGCCGTGATCTTCGAAAGCTTCGATTGGAAGGGTTCCACCACGCTGGATCGGTGACGTGCAGTGCAAAGTTCTTGACTGGACTGAGTTTTTCATACATCCGCCAGTCGAGTTGAATTCACAGACCTCGAGCCCAATACCCATAGGCCCGACAACAGCTGACTTTGACTTCGGGTGTGTGCGCCTTTCGCAAAGTGATATGTGCCCGCGCTACTTGAAGATTTGCGTTCAGGTTCATTGATGCCTCACTCACTCACTCACTCACTCACTCACTCGCGCCTTCGGAGTCCTGTTGATCATTGATGCCTGCGCGAGCACCTTTGTTCATTGAATGTCTTGGATCCGTGAACACTACTGCGGTTGAGGACTTTCACACCAGATTTTTCTACGATACAAACCGGATTATGTTTGGGTGGACAGTTTTGACAGTTCTTGCAATTGCTACGGTCTTGACAAGGCTTGTATTTACGACATTGTTGGTGACGGCAGTTGCGATGGGACGAATGTTGAGCAGTATTTGACAGGAGTTGAAGTTGGCACAGTTGAGCATTGTTCAGGCGATCAAGCTTGCATTGTTGAGCGTTGTGCTGAAGAAGGAGCACATGGTTCAAAGGCTTCAAAGCGGGCTGTACCGCGTGACGCAATGATGTTGTCGTTCAACATAGCTGACGAGAGGGCTGTACCGCGAGGGTCGATGACGCTGCGTGCTGGTGAGCGGGCTGTACCGCGTGAGTCGACGACGCTGCGTTTCACCATCTCTGATCGCTAGGACCACATTTGGTTCGAAGCGGAACTGGAGGAGTACGAGCTCCGGTTCATGACGCATCCAACAGTGATGGAAGATCCCGATTTCAAACCTGCAGCCGACTGTGCTGCTCATCTAGGTCGCCCGACCTCTGCCGACGTAGGAAGTAGTCAGGTGGATATCGACCGAGGGGCACACCTCCATGACTGTCACCCCATATGACCATTGTTCAATCCAGGAAAACCAACACAACCATTTTGATGTCGGGTCCCACGCATATGCGCATACTCCACCCACATTCTACACAGGACTTGGCAAAGGCCGCAACGGCGGCCATGTGTGCGATTGCACTCAGGTTTTGAAATTGTGTTTCGCTGCGCGCGCCGCGTGCCAAGCCGATTCAAGTGCCGAGAACTTGAAGACTACGAGCCTATAGGCCATATGTTGGCAAGCTGAGCAATGCGCCTTGTGGCCATCCTGACATGCATTTCATTAGCTGCCATTGTACGGTATGCCAACCACAATGCATTGCGTACCCCGCCATCATGGGGTCCAGAACTGGAAGGGAGTTACCCCCTCAGGCAATGGGCCCGGGACATCATGTTGTGGTCCACCGGCCAGGAAGGCCGCTAGTGTGATGCTTGTCTTGAAGGGGGCTGCAAAAGAACTCTCAGGACAAATCCCCCCACAAGCAGTGGCGGAGGGCGGAGTCGTAAACGGAACACCAATGATATCCTTTATGGGGAGGAGGGCTCAGCATCACGAGGTTCACGCAAGAGATGACGTCCGATGGTAAATCTGGGAGGTACCCAAAAAGTCGACTTTTTGAGTATGTGCGTGGTGGTGGTTGGGTGCTTGAAATCCGGCCAGGGCCCGGGAGGCCCCAAGGCCGTGTCCTTGCCGTAGGCCATCTCTCTTCTCCGTAGGAGAGAGGGGAGTCCCGCCCCCGTTGCCGACCATGCGCGGACCTACCGAAGCTACCGCGCTTTACAGTGTTTCTGGCTTGTCCCATTTTTCGGCTCTTGCGGCGCAAGATGGGTCAACGTGGCCCAACGTAGGCCCAAATAATGCTGGAAATGCGTGCCGCACCGGGGTGCTTCGTCTGCGTCGTGGGCGGATGCTGGGCTAACGTGGGCCACATAGCCCCAACATCGGCCAACATAGCCCCCAAGATGGGCCAACATGGCCCCAAGATGGGCCAAGATAGCGCCAAGATGGGCCTACATAGCCCCCAAGATGGGCCAACGTAGCCCCAACATAGCGACAAGATGGGCTAGCGTAGCTCCCAAGATGCCCAGATAGCCCCCAAGATACGCCAACATCGACCCAAGCTGGGCCAACAAAGCAACAACAACCACCACCACCACCACAACAACAACAACCACAACCACAGCAACAACAACAACAACAACAACAACAACAACAACAACAAACAACAAAAAACAACAACAACAACAACAACAACAACAACAACAACAACAACAACAAGCACAAGCACAAGCACAAGCGCAAGCGCAAGCACAAGCGCAAGCACAAGCGCAAGCGCAAGCACAAGCGCTAGCACAAGCGCAAGCGCAAGCACAAGCGCAAGCGCAAGCGCAAGCGCAAGCACAAGCACAAGCACAAGCGCAAGCACAACCACAACCACAACCACACCACCAACCACAGCCACAACCACAACCACAACCACCTACAGCCACTACATCCACCGCGACCCCCCCTGCGTCCCCCGGCTGCCCCTAGCCCCCGTGCCCTTTTTCCCTGCCCCCTTCCCTTTGCTTGGGCCCCTGGCCGGCTGTCGGGCGTAAGCCCTTAAATAGAATGGTTGGATCCATCGGCGTTCTTTCCCAGTTACAGCCTGCACGACAGGCGGCCCCAGAGACATACTCCAATCGCACAGATATACTCCAATTCCACCGTGGTTCAGCTTCCAGAACGCAGCACTTCTTTGGCACCCACCCAAAATGCCCAAACGAAAAGCAGAAGAGCCGGATGTGGCCGAAAGCCAAATTCCCGGCGGCGATTCATGGGCATTGCGAGTGGAGGGCTGTTTCTGGCACAAGGTGCCTGTTCTGAGAGGGGCAGTCCTGCGCTGGCTGGCTGCTTGTCAGCATGTCCCGCTTGGACAGGCCACGCGCTGAACGATACTTGCGGCTCCCCCAATTCCTGCTTTCTTTAGCCAACCTACAATTTCCTGGACAGTTCCTTTACCGGGGATCCTGTGGCCGGAAGGCGCCAAATGCCACTCGTGTACGCGACATTTTGCAAGTCATGAAGATCAATGACGAGCCATACGACCATTGTTCTCGCATACTTGGTGAAGTCTTGACGGAGCAAACTTTAGAACAGGCGGAAATGAAAGCGTACGTGATCGCACGTACGCAATGGACAGACATACACCACGGTGTGGATCTTTTGCTCAAGGACGTCATTGCTAAAGGTTTCCAGCCCCGGGACATTTTTACGGAATCCTTCAGCCCGAACTGCCGCCACTCCAACGCATGTGTCGGTAGTTTGCCAGCCCAGAAGCACTACGTGCAAGACCTATTCCCTCCGACACTTCCACCGCTCGAGTGGAAAGACGAGGCTGGCCAACATGCGTAAGGAGGACATTTTTTCACAACTACTTTCCTGGCCAGGTGTTGGCTGCCTCACTGGCAAAAACATCTTTCAAATCGTGCGGCGCTGCACGGCATTTCACCATTTTAAAGCGGCCGCAGGCAATGCCTGGCATCATGCCAGTCAACGCTGTGCGTTCTCTGGTCCGGGACCCCGCATGGCCATTAACTTGTTGTTCGCGGAGCCTGGTGGGCGAGGGTTTTTACGCGACAACAACAGCGCAGCTGCGCTGCGGCATTTCCACCCCAAGGTTATCTTTCTACAACGAGCCTTCGTGACAGAAGTGTGCAGTTTAGTGGACGACCTTGGGGTTGATCCATTGACATTCTTGATGCACTCCCTACAGGAAAGGTTCGGCGACCTAGGAGAAGAAGTAAGAGTCCAGGCTGTGACGGAACTTATGAGTTTTTCGAGAAAAGGCAACGAAAACGTCGATGCCCTCCTCGTTCGCTTCGACAGCATTCGCACCCGCGCTGCCGAACAGGGAGGAGCCGTTGTAAGTGTCCAAGGTGTTGCGTGGCTGCTCTTGCGCGGCCGTTGGGATCTCGGACAAACTGCTTTCTCCAACCTTTCGGAGGTTTGTTTCCGGCCGATGAAGCCAAGCTGACCCATCTCAAGACCAGTCTTCGTAGGATGGGCCACATCCTCGAGCATGCGCCGGGGAACATCAGGGAAGGGTTGCGCAGTCAGAGTTCGAATGCGTCAGGTTTGTATTTGACCCACAACTGGACAAAAAAAGAAGATAGACCCCAGCCGCACACAGGTTTTGATAGTTGGGCAGATAATCACGCGTTCCCAGCAGCGGCCATGCCAGGTACGCCCATGGAATCCACCGAAGCCTTCGCCGCGTTCGAAGATGAGGACATCGATATGGATTCGATCACTAGTTCAGGTGAGTGCAGTTTGGTTCGTGATGATGGCACCGATCCTCAGAGAACAGCGCAGAACTTGTTCTGGGCCTATCGACAGGCCAAACATAAGTGGCGTAAGTACATGGGCAAGAACACCCGAGCCGTTCGTCGATATGCCAAGAGATTCGAACGTCGCAAGGGTAAAGGCAAGGGCAAACCCCACTCAGCCTACGCAGTAGGTAAGGGTAAGGGGAAGAAGGGCAAGAACCAATCTTCCGCATTCCTTGCAGAGATCGGATTCGGAACCCCAACACGCCTTGCCAGCATTTCGTGGTCACCGCACCCCTAATAAGGGCAAGGGTCGTAAGACTAACCCTAGAGGTCCTGATGGTCAGACCATGCGGTGCTATGAATCGAACACCTGGCAGGTTCATGCCCTCGACGCCGCGGAGGACAGTCATCCGGCCAAGTCACGACGTTCTTCGCCAACCCCACCAGGAGTACACATGACATGTCTTCAGGTCCATTGGCAGGAATATTGGGCGCAGATGACGTTCATGCCACCGTGCTGGCAGCCCATGCAGTGACGTTTACAACACATGCCAACGAGTCCAATCAACCAAACAGCATTTTCCGAAGCTACATGGTCTCGGAAGGTGATGAATAAGATCCCCTGCAAGCCAATGACCCATGGGGATCAACCACCACACGGTCGTCATTCCCACAAAACAATTCCTCAGAGTTTCGGTCCGACTCCATCCGCCCGACCTTCGTCCGCGTCCGTTAGGAATGAGAACATTGCAGTACTTTCGGTTGCCATTTAATAACTTCGGATTCGGTCGGTCAGCAGTGTCAGAACCAGGTCGGAAACTCTGAGTCGACGCCTCGAGCTTCGGCCCCACAGGAATACACGGCCAGGTCCCCTTCCGACGGGGGAGAAGTTCGACCGCCGCTGTGGTGTACGAAATGCCGACCGGAGTACCCGGTTCCGGGAACATGCAGTGGGCGTTTATGGCCCAGATGCCCGCGGACCTCCGTGAGTTGATGCCTTCGCGCAGCGCCAGAGGCGCCAAGCTTTGCAATGAACGAAGCGTTTGACTTTCTCCAGATGAGGAATCAACCGCAGATGCCCGCGCCGCCGACGTTGCGGGCCCCACAAAGGTCTACCCTGGAAGGACTCTAGAGGCCAAATTGAAGAGTTCCATTATGTACCACAACAAGTTGCTTACCAACGCCAGCAGGTTCGCAATGCTCGACCACAAGCGCGCCCGAACCTGCAAGTTCGTTCGCAGTTAGATCCACAACACAGGCCAGAGATGGGTGAGTTCCACCATGTGCAGAGGACGATAGAACGCAACTCTCGCCGAAGGCGAGACTGAATCAGTGAGAGAGGATCAATGTTGAAGATGTTGAGTATGACGGAGCGCCGGATTGTTGCCCTTTGTGCTAAGAATCATTTTGTGCCAAGGAATCCGTGCTTCGATTAGTATGCAAGCGTCTTTATCACACCGAGTGTTGGACAGAGTGGATGTGTCGTGGCACTGCCTTGCACTGCCCAGTCTGCCGAGGTAGCTGCCACATCATCGCTCGATATCGCGTCCCAGATGAGTCCACAGCCACAGCATCGAACATTCCCAGCCAACCGCCCACTCAGGCAGTGACGCCCGAGCAATCCGATAGACAGCCTGACGCCTTCATCCTTCTCTTCACACCTCCACACAGCCGTGGAGATGAGGCACAGCACAGAGGTCACCAGCGGGAACGCCATTCTTCTCACCAGAACAATCGGACAACTTTGCTTGGTGGCCAACTGAGGAAGATTGCCAGGCTGGGGTGGCGTACCATTCCATATCAATCCCGAACCGAGCAGGAATCATCATTGATGCAGGTGCCTACACCAATCTCATCGGCGAGCAGACGGCGCCAGTTCGCTAAGATTGCCATGGGGCAAGGGTTCAGACCCAGACAATGGCGCATGAGGCCGATGTTTGTGCAGGGTGTGAGTGAAGGTCAGCAGAAATGCGAGTGGACAGTTTCCATCCCAATCGCATGCCGTTTATCAGTGGAAGGTTGTGTGTGCTGCCTGAACTTCGAAGCGCCGGTTGTAGGAGGTAGCGGATCCCGGCTTCCAGCGCTACTCGGACTTCGTTCCCTATCAGCACTCTCCGCTCTCTGTATGCGTGAAGGGCAGGAAGCATTGTTCGTGCCCGTTGTAGGCAATGAAACTGTTGATTTGTCGCAGCAAAGAAGATGCCCATTGGAGAAGGCCCCATCAGGACATCTGATTACGACGGTTGACAACTGGGAGGAACTAAAGCAAGAGTTCGTCCAGAGCCCATGGTCTTGCACATTGATCCTCCCCCAACATCAGCCGAGGAGTCTAGCATTCCTGCAGCCATGTAGATGCAGACCTCCCAGGAACATATGTATCGAACGCCTCACAGCCTAGGTGTGTGAAGAAGCCCCTCATGTTTCGACCCGCTTGCAGGAAGCCGATTGGAAAGTTGTTCGCTTTTCGCCAGCGCAGAAAAATAAAGGCACTACTGCGCAGGTCTCATTGCAAATTAGAGAGGCCAGTTCCGGCTTTTGTGGATTGAAGTGGTGAACTAGCTGAAGCCACAGGACAGGCAGAACGTGTAGTGCATTTACACCGCCTCCAGGTTCAGCGCAGCTTCTTTGTAACCCACCTGAGTTTGCAGACTATGACGAACGATACCATGTGCTTAAGTGTCTTCGTCCAGGCACGGGACGCAAGGATGCTTTCAGAGCATTCAGCATGAAGTTGTCCAAGGCCACTCGTTTTCCTGAAGTAGGACGTAGTAAGCCGCTAGCAGCAGACCCCGAATGTGAAGTTAAACGTCGACATGGAAAACTGGTACTCATCCTGGTAAAGCATGTAGACGACCTGAAGATCGCAGGAGAAGAAGCCGAAGTCAAGAACTTGCTTAGTGCCTTGGAGAAGACCTTCGGACCCAGTGAACGGAACAATAATAATTTCACCTGTGTAGAAATTAAGCGCACGAGGGATCAAGACGGAACCATAACTTTAGACCAAAATGAATACATCAGTGCTTTGAAGCCCATTCAACATCCAGATTTAGTTGGCCGGCCTTTGAATGAAGCGTGCGCAGACGCAGTAATTCGTTTATATGGGTCTTTGTTGGGTGCAATCATCACACCATGCTGACGCAACACTGGCTAAATGTGTACATCAAAGGCTACCGTGTGAGAGGCGCTGTGATCTTGAGAGTGGGAAGAAAAGATGGCGCTGAACGGTGTCACTTGATCGATGCATCCAGTCAAAGTCTTATGTTAGTGACGCGTAGCGCATTCAGCCCCGAAACTCTTGCAGCAGTAGGAACAGTAGATTCCTTCATCCCTGTATCAATTTCACTGACGGAAATCCTCCATAAGCCCTTAAGTCCCGAAGATTTGCGCCGATTTAGAGAAGGCGCTCTGCCACGCAGACCAAACCTTAAAATTACTGTGGCCATCGACGCGATGAATCTCTTTCAGGCTTGGACAGGTACTTCGACAGGAAAGAGCCTTTTCCCTCATCTAGCTTGGCTTCGAGATGTTGTAAAGTGTGCACTGACGCATGTTCTTTGGGTGGACGCCCGTGATATGCTTGCAGACCCGACGACAAAGGGTACAATCTCGCGAATGGCCACGCTACAAGCCATGAGTGGTTTCTTCGAGCTTGTTCATGAAAGCTGCGAGCATGCGTTCACCCAAAGCGTCGACGAGTAGGTGCGTACACGACGCATATAGTTCACAATGCGCACCCGCACCATACATACAACCACCGAGTTCCACAAAACCTCAACGTGAGCACACCCGACTCGAATGGTATCCGCCGGTCCACCGCGGGGCAATCCATGTTCAACCGCAGCAATGGATCTCGAGGCCCCCATTTACCTTTTCCATGGCCCGTAGGGTGAAACATGTTGCGCTTGCTACCGCGCTGTTGCTTCTTTTGTTTGCTGCCCGAGTTTCATACATATATTTCTTGTGGTGGCTGCTTTTCTGTCTGTCTGCCATTTTTCTCATTTCGTGCCGCTCCGTTCCCAATGCATGACATGAGACCCTCCCGAAGTGACCCTCTACGTATCAGCAGACCCAGATCGCAAGACCCGCCCAATTCTTCCAAGCAGAGGTCTCCCAACTGGTTTGGACCCCCGATTCCCACGCGGGGGGTCCTTTTCTTGGAGGGGGCCGCTGCGCAAAGCGCCGCTCCAAGCGCATCTCCGCGCGTGTGCGCGGGCTTCGCCGGGCAGATCCAAGCGAAGCTGCGGAAGCGCTTGGAGGAGCTGAAGATCACCAGGCGCATTTTGGGGGGGCTCGACAGACGCTCTGGCTCTGGACGTCCGGGTAAGGAAGCAGTTGATGCTGTGAGGGAATTCACCCTGGGACGCGGATGGGGAAACTCATAGAACCTGAACCTGGTTCAAACATAGCAGCGTACAAAAAATAGATCAATTTGGAGTCGGTAGGATCTCTCGGTGTTCCCAAAGGCCCACAGATCCCGAGATCCGAGCTGAGCTGAGGTTCAGAACTCTTTCCCACCTAGACTTGGACAGCGATACCAAATACAAAAAAGGAAGAGGAATACCCAAAACACAGCCATGGCGGCCATGGCGATGCCATGTTTTTCTCCGTGGCTTTGGCTCATCTCCAAGGCCCCTGGCCCCCGACGAGCTGGACCAGGCGATCGGGTGCGGTCCGTTTGGCGGGCGCGGTCCGTCGACGGCGCGGTTGGGATGGAGGTCGGAGGGGAGTGAGGAGAGCCTGTGACGACCGAGCAGAGTGGTTGGATGGTGGTTGGATGGACACCGGATGGGCCGGAGGGGCATGCATGGTATCTAAGTGCCTCACACGCCCATGTGCTGGAAGGAACACACTTCAAGCTACGAGATGTTATGAGCCTTACAAGCGTGATTGTGAAAAACATTTGCAGAAGGGAACATTTGTGCTTGGGCTGCACTCGAGACACAGCCGAGCAGCTTACATCTGCCCAGCTGGGGGGAAGATCTCCATAATTCAATCACAGGTAAGCCCAGTCAGCTTTCTTTATTTTTTTCTTTATTTTTACTTCTTTATTTTTTCCTTTATTTCTTTGTGCGTAGCGTCTTGCTCAGCATCTAGCAAGGTAACCACCCAGCGCGGTGGGTCGGCCGCACCTCGCGTCGTCCTCACGGTGGTAGGCCCAGCGCTACGTGACGGAAAGCTGCCAGGGCTTTGTCTCCGCAGCGCTTCTGGCAGAAGGTGGAGGGGTGATGGGTGACGATGGGTGCCATGTGAGCAGCTATTTATTGAACAGTTTTGGTGGAAGAAAAGCACACATCTTTGTTTGCTTTCATGGCTTTGTTGGAGGTTGCGTGCAGGACTTTGGGGCATTAAGAGGGCTGAAAGGTAAGAGAGATAATGTCATCTATATTTGAGAGGGGCGGCTGGAAGGGTAAGTCGCGCCTATTTGACAGGGCTGAAGGCTGAAGGGTAGTGTTACTTATTTGTATCCAGTTGAGGGCGGGTGCTGCACTGGGGCCTTCAAGGTATTCCAGAAAGAAACATACAGTACTAGTTTGGCAGAAGGGGGCTGTTCGTTCATCACCAGTTTGCCGGACGAGTGAAGCTTGTTCATCACCAGTTTGATCTTCGTCCGATGGCCTCCAGACCTGGTGTCCTCCAGGCCCCGCCACGCCCTCTCCAGGTCGCAAGACGCTTTTCCTCGACCTGGACGAAGGGACTGGGAGTTGCCCGTGTGTGTGTTTGCTTTTTCTTTTTTTCAGGGCCCGATGGGGCGTGGATGAGGTTGGAGGCCGCATCACATCATGCCACCTTTGAAGGGAACCTCTTGGAAGATTTGCCTTCCACGGAGCTTTGACCCCGGACAACTAACTCGGGGCACTGCAGGTTCGACCGCGCCAGCCACATTCAGAAAAGGAGGGGGATGCGGGATGCGCTGCTTACGGTTTCACCCCTTTTTGCCACATCATGCATGTAAAAAAAGCTTCAGCATGTTTTCGACGTGTTATCTTCTGGTTGACCTGATCAGGTTGTGGAGTTAAAGATGCCACTCACTGGGCAACATGGTCCGGTCTGTCCTTTTTCATGCAACTGTTGCGAATCCTGCAAGTGAGACAAGCACCAGGTTGAAGACGTTGGCCAACTCAAGGGCTTCAGCTGGTTTGTGAAAAGCTTGGCGCCTTGAGCCCGGACTCTGGCCAGGAACAAGAGTACGGCCACGTTGCACCTGAATCCTTCGCTGCAGGTGCTCTCACTGAAGGCGTGGGCGGAACTGCGAAGCGCAGATGACTGAGCAGACCCAGTGGCAATTTGATGCACTCGGTCGTTTCTTCGGGTTCTTCCAATTTCTTTTCTCACTCTCATGTACTCCAGCTCATGTAAGCCATAGCAGCGGAAACGGACGGCCAGGTGCACATCGACGAAGGCACAAAAAGCGCTTCCGCAGCACACATGCAGCAGCTGGAGGAGACTCGGACGGCTTTTTTGAACACCCCGACGATTTAGCGACTGAAATGAGCTAGGGACAGAATTGGAAGTTTGGTCCTCGATCATCCAAGGGTTTATCCTTGTGGAATGCCGAGTAGCTTTCCGTCCCAAGTACTCAGATGATGCAGTCGGTGCCAATTTGGCACTGTTTTGCGTTCAGGGCATTCGGAAATTGGTGTGTTCTCCTGGAGTCCTGTTTCTTCCAGACGGTCTTTCAAAAAACATCCTCCAAACCAAAAGGAGGGCGTTGACACGGGGGCCAACCTCAAAGAACGGAAGGCGATGTCCGGGTGATCCGGCCTGGCCCTACGAGCGGTTTTGGGAAGACCGCCTGTTGGAAAGACATGGATACTACCCACCGGTGGAGGTACAAACCACCGTAGCGCGGGCGTCATGGTTAGCAGCTGTTTTGCTGCTTGGGCACTGGCGAGCTAGATGGAAGATCTTTCCTCTTTGGTAGTCGTGGGATATGACTGGTGGGGAGCCAGAAAGTCCTTGGAAGGTGTCGCGAGTTGTGTTCAGCAGCCCGTTTTGCAAAGCCGACATCCCTCCGGCCGGCGGCTTTTCAGCCATGGCACGTTGGTTGCTGCTTGCGCTGGCGGGAGAGGTGGCCAGTGGAATCGAGAATGGCCTTGGTCGCACTCCCCCTATGGGGTGGCGGTCCTGGAATTTGTATGGTCAGAATGTGAACCAGTCCCTCGTGCAAAGCGTCATGGATGGGATCGTGTCCAAGAAGCGGAAGGTGGACGGCGTTCCAACCTCCTTGTGCGACCTGGGTTACTGTGATGTGGGGCTAGATGACAATTGGCAAGACTGCCATGCCGGGCAGAAGTATCGCTATCATGATGATTCTGGCATTCCAGTGATCAACAGGGAGCGCTTCCCTGACATGATTGCTATGACATCTCATGCTCACAAGTCTCTTGGCTTTTGGTTTCGCTGGCTTGACTGGGGGCAGCTTCAGATGAAGGATTCCCACGAAACCGCGGGGTAGTCTATCTTTTCCTTTTTGTGCATCCCTCTGTGTCCAAAGTCTTGGAACTTCTGGACCCCCAAGAACGACATCGTGCCACTGCTGTTCATGAGAGATGCCCATACCCGCTTCTTTTGCAAAGACGTGCTTCTTGTATCTTAACATCTCTGGAGTCCTGGACATCCCGAACAGTGGACAAAAATCCTCCCCCTCCGGCGGAACCACCCCGGCTCTTCTTTTTTTGATTTTTTCGTGGCCACCAGCAAACCCGCCCCCCGGCCTTCCAAAACGCCTTCCATTTCGGCGCGTCCGTGGACGAAAGCGAGTCAGTTGAACCGGGCGGGTTTCCTCGGCGGTGCTCGTGTGAGGTTGAACCTGACCGCTGGATGGTACCTGAACAATTGCATTTGTTCCGAGGGCACGGCCACCGACGAGACCCTTGGACGGCAACATCCCGGCAACACCGGGGCCCGCTGTGTTTTTGCTTTTTTGGAGCCAGCTCCGGGCGAGGGGCAAACACGAAAGACTGATGTTTGGGAAGCTCCCCCCTCAGAAAGAGAGCCTAAATTGTGGGAAGACCAAGATTGTCACCGGGGGGCCAACTATTTTCAACGTGGTGAAAAAAGGCTGATGCCTCAAGGCACAGACGCCTGCATGCAAGACACACATGGGGAAAGACTTTGGGGAATGGGGAAAGACATGAGTGGCTTCTTCGCTCTCGATGGGCCTCAACCACCAACTGAAACCCAAATGGTCCCCAAGTGCGTACATGGGGCACTTCCTTTACTTCAGAGCCAAAAAGATTGTTTTTTCTATTTTTTTCTCGTCTTTCGGTACTTCTTCCAGCTTGCCGCCTCTTTTCCGCTGTTCCCCGCTGGCGCGTGCCGCGTCTCTCTCGTTCCACCCGGAACCCGGTCACCCGCCCCCGTTCCGGACCGCCCAACGCCCGTTCCGGACCGTGACCGGCGGGGAACGGAGGATGTATCAGAGCGATGTGGCGGCGCTGACGCTCTTCGGCTTCGATGCGGTGAAATTGGACGGCTGTGGGAGACAGATGGAGCCTCGGCCGAGAGGGAAGGGGCAAGAAGACGGAGGGGCAGAGCCTGTTATTTTTTTTGATTCATAAAAAAGAACGAGGGGGCACAATCACAGGGTGGGACAGGCACAAAAGAGGGAAGGGTCGTCTTCTCTTCTTTTTTTGTTTTTCGGGGTTCCGGCTACAAAGGAAGGAAGCCACTGGTGGCTTGGGGACGAGGCCAAGAGGAGAAGGTTCCTGCAAGTCTGAAGGAGTCCCCTGAAGGCCAGGAATGTCAGGGTGCACTTCTTTGATTCGTTGGGATGTAATTAGATGTACTACGGATACGTGATCCTCTCACATTCTCTCTTTGGGGCTTGCTTGGCTTCATCTGAGCCGCGGTCTGGTGGGCAAGTCTGTCGGCTTCCACTCCGCGATGCTCCACTTCGCTGCCAGGATTTGGACAAGTGGGCGGAGCTCTTCAACCACACCGGACGACGCATCATGATCGAAAATTGTCACTGGGGCGGCACGGTGCCCAACGCCACCTGGTGTCCCTGGAACTTCTTCAGGCTGGAAGGGCGAGTGGAGGGGGCTTGGAGGGGGGTGGTTGTCAAACTGATGAGCGGAGGAGAGTGATCAGTCAAAATCCGAGTCGGAGTCCCTGGAAAACCCCGAGTTGCTGTGGGCCATGCGGGCAAAAGTCCTTGTTTGAGGGCAGGGTTGCCATCCTGCCCATACCTGGCAGATTGGAGGAGTTCCGAGGTGCCCTTGGAATCTGGAGATTTTCTTCCACGTCATTTTGTCCTGGTCCGCAAACGGACAGAACACACACACACACAACACACAGACAGACTGACACAGACACACGAAGTGGTCGAAGAATACCTGTTCGATCAGGGCATTTGTACTGACTCCCGATTCCCTGTTTGGGGTGGTGGTGCTTATTCGAAGGATGTGAGGACGGAACCGGCGGTCATCTTGGCGGGTATCAGGACCTCTGGAGACATCCGGGCCTCCTATGGCAGCATGGTGGGGAACTTGTTGACCACGGTGCAGTGGGCGCAGAAGAACCTCTCCAAGCCAGGAGAGTGAGTAGAGTGGCGCGAGTGGCGCGCGTGGCGCGTTTTCCTCCCGAATGCGTAGCAAAGGGTTCTTGTTTAACTGTGGGGTCCGGCGGTGGAAGCGTGCTTGTATGACGCTGCTTTCATGTTCGCAACCGTCCGAAACCGTTCGAATTGAGAACGATCAATCCTTGCCGTTGGGGGAAGCTTTTGGAGGTCTTGGATGGAAGCATGAAGTGTCGGATTCGTATGACATAGCGCAGACACGTAAGCGAACGTGCCGGCCGTTCTTCGCTCTCTTGGAGGTGTTGAAAGTCGCTGTGCCGGATTTGCTCCGGAAGCGCCTGCCACAAAGCTTTGGTTTTGGGGGCAAGTCCCAACAGAGGCTGAAGAACCCTATAGACTATCCCAATAGGTACTCCAGTAGGGTCCTATAAGGTACCTCTCTTGGTCATAGCATGTCATAGCTGCAGCTGCGCTTCGGGACTGTTGCGAGCGGGCACCAGTTCAGCGCCTTGCAGCATCGAGTCTGAGCGGCGCTCGGTTCCGACTTGAGCGAGCAAAGGCTGGCAGATGGACCTGCCAACGTTTCTGAGTAAGGAGAACTCCTCTTGATCGTTCAGCAACGCAGCAACGATTGCACGATGCGTGGAAGTTAAGAGGGTGCTGACTTCAAAAGCCAAAGGTAGAACCCACGAACCCAAGTGAACACATGCACTTCGACACAAACGGCCAAACGTTGTTTGACACTTGTGTGTTACTCTCCAAAGACGAACATTGTGGGGTGACACTCTTTTATCATACTCTTTTGGGACACGCTTGTGCAATGCTGTTGCTCGACAGTCAATTTATTCTAGGAAAACTCTTGGATACGTTCTCAATGGGTACTCTTGTAGGACACTCTTGTGGGACACTCTTACGGCGCCCTCTTGCGGGGACAGCTGTGGGATATTCTTGTGGGACACTCTTAAGCACTTTTGCAGGATACTCTTGTGTCACACTGCGGTAGGATAGTCTTGTGGGGTAATTTTGTGGGCACTCGTGGCACACTCTGGACACTCCGTAGGACATTCGTGTAGGGCGTATGCCGAGGCACTGTGGTTGCTGTTGTTGCCGACGACCAAACATTTTGACACGCAGCCTGCCGTGACAGGAAACTCTTGATGGGCTTTCATTCAATGGGACAGTGTTGGAGGTATTGGTATGTCTATTGATTCCGCCAGGATGTTGGGCTTACCCCGACATGCTGGAGGCAAGGTTTGTGAAGATCATGAATAGTATATTCAACCCCTGCCGTGAGTGCTGGTTGAAAGGTGTTGTTTGTCCGGAGTTTTCATGATTTGATCCTCAGGGAAGCAACAGGGCTTTGCGTCTCTGGTTGGTGTATTTCAACGTTTCGTGCACTTTTGGATGCCACAGACCGTGGAATTCGGCCGAGTCACCGCCCGGGCGCTTCGTCAGGTCGGTTGCCATGGAGGCCAGGAGCCCCAGACATAACACCGAAACTGAAACACCAAGAAAGGATAGAACGGCCTGTGGAAGGGTTCAGTGCTGTGCTCGGCAGCTGTTCCACCTTCGACTCGTGTCGGTCGAAACGCCTCGACCGTCGGTCCCTTCGGGTCCCTTCGACCGAACCGGATGCTCGATGCCGGGGCCCGCCGCAGAAGCCGCCGAGGCTTGAGCTTCTTCGAGGCCCGCTCGCACTTCAGTGCCTGGTCCATTGTCTCTTCGCCCTTGGTCTTGTCCATGGACGTGAATGACGATGCGGTGATGGACCAAGTCTGGGAGATTGTCTCCAACAAGGAGTGAAGAGGGGATAAGGGGGAAGGGGTAATTTGGGTGGTGGGGTTGAAACCGTAGATTCTAGATTTTTGGGACAGACATACATGAGATGAACAACTCTTTTTTTGTGGTGTTTGGGGAGTCAAAGAATGACATTCATTATAGACATTTTCTTCGAGGCTCCGAGGCCGAAAGGATCCCACAGCGAATGTGAGCAGAGACGTGCCAATTTCCTTCGGAATCACTGCCTAGGTTGGTTTGGCGATCCTCCACGTATGTTGTGTTGGCACATCGGTGGCCCTACACCCTTTTTTTTTGTGGAGTGAATCACAGACCCTTCGATGGGACTGTGATGCCGGATGGGTGTGGGGTGGCTGGTTCGAACCGTTGGAGGAGCAAGCGAAAGGGGTCACAGGATGCTTTGTCAATATTTGTGAGTGCGTGGTCCAAAGTCTTGGCGCCAGAGGCTTTGACGTTGCAGAGAGACAAACGGCTTTTTGGGTCCGGTTCAGCTTGGAACCTCCACACCAGCGCCCTGCTGCCGGAGCTCGGCCGCATGGTGCGTCTTCCTCACCTGGTGGGTCCTCGTTGCCCCTCCGTTAAGCCGGGCGGGAGACGGTCACCCGGTGGAGTCGTTTCAGGAGATCATTGCCGTGAACCAGGCGTGGGCGGGTCACAGCGGAAGCCCTTTTAAACAGTCCGACGCTTGGCAAGGAGGACTCAGTGACCCATGTGGTGACCAGAAATGAGAGACCCATGGTGTGGAGACGGTCTTTTTGTGGCCTCTTTCTTTGTGCAATAGCTGGCTTCGAGGCATTTGAACATGCGTCATTTTGTTTTGTGGAGGCCTAATGTTCTCAATCTTTTTTACCCCAGTCTCTCTCTCTCTCTCTCCCTGCTTGCTCCCTCTGTAATTTGTTGAGTGATGACTAGCTTGAAGCGAACCTGTCACCTTCCCTAGTATGGCTAGTGACCACTAGCGGCTAGTTGGGTCCTTGTGTGTTCCATCTACCGACCCTTTTGGTTGGACCATACCAGGCGTGATGCCGAAAAAAACGGCTTCGCGTCGCCGGTTTCCGCGGGGCTTCGGCTTCGGCCGCTGAAGGACGCCCTGGTGCAGCTCAGCGACTTCAACATGCAGCTGCACGGACAGGTGATCCCACACACCAGCCAGGCGCCGCGGAGAAATCGTGACGAGCCACGTGTTTCCGCCGGGGCGGTGGAGGAAATGGGTTGCTCACAAGTGAGAAATAGGTCAACTGTTCATAACTGTTCCACGTCTCGAGCTGGAATGGGTGGTGTGTTTGTGAACAGCTAGAAGACAGGGTGGATCCCAATGTAGACTCTTGATTCAGAAGACCCCCATACCTAGGAACTCGTCCAGGCTAGAAATCCAGCCCAAATCCATTCAGACAGTATTTCTGCCCGAACATGGTTTTCACGCCCGACCCTGGAATTCTCGCCCGAATGTGTTTTTGTTGAAAACAGACATATTCTGCGAGTGATATCATGCAATGCAATTTGAGTCTACCAAACCCACCCGATCACACAAATTCTCGCCCGATCACAACAATTCACGCCCGAATCACGCTGATTCTCGCCCGAATTGAAATGTCGAGCATTGTTTCAAAACTGCAGATTTGCAACTTAGGTGCTTTGCAAGTAATTTGCAGCATCTTCCGCTCTGCCCGAATAATGATTTCTGCCCGCAGGCTGTTTTTAAGGACAAACCCTGGTTCAGGCAGATTTTCTTGAACAGGCAGAAATTTGAGCCTGAATGAGGGTCCAGGTATAAAGAGGATTGATCAATGATTAATAAGACCCCCACTCTTGAATAATAAGACGACCCCCATAAAGACAGAGGATTTCCAGTTCAACTGGGTCGGTTTATGAATCCACTTCGACCAGCGTCGAATTCCATGTCCCTCGCAGTCGAATGTTGGGGACGGGAGGTCCGGTCCAGAAGGTCCGGGTCGTCTCTGAAGTCCACAGAAGCAGTTGGTTTTCTTTTTGTCTGATCAAATTGATAGCAGGTTTCGAGATCTCTCTCTCTCTCTCTCATTCCTTTCTCTCTCTCTATTTTGACGATTCTTCCATCTAATCCTCACCTCCGAGGTCGTTTCCCTCGAACTCGTCGTAGAACCGTCTCGAACCGGAGCCCAGCGGTTCCCGCGTAACGACCGCTTCGCCGCCCGCGTCTCGACCGTTGGAACCGACTGGGGAGATGATCGGTCGAGCGGGGCGGGCCGATTGGGGCGTCCCCGGTCCTCGGTCGACTGGGAGATGTCGGACCTTCTCAGTGGTGCTGTGGTTCGCACCAGGTGCCCAGCTGGCAGTTCTTTTACAAGCCGGTGGGTCACTTGGCAGGGGGGGAAAGGGGTGGACGTCGCCTTGCTCTCTTTCTTTTAACATCCCTCGCCTTGTTAAGCCCCGAACTTTAGACTTCTTTGGCAGAAATGGCTGATTCGAAGTGAAACAGCTCATGGAAGAATTTCACCTATACCCTTTTGGACCCAACTAGACATAAACTGACAAACTTGTTCTTCTAACAAAGATATTCTTCCCATTTTTGTGGTTTGGAGTTCTCCACGCAAATTGGACATGCAAAACGCTTCTATTCTCCAAGTGACACCTTTGGACGACGCGCCTTTCTGCAGCATCTTCACACCAGTCGACACCTGTCCTCCCTGTCGCCTGTCAGCTTTCTCCCAGGCGCTGGGAAGATCGTGGTGCTGCTAATGAACCACGACTCCAAGGCACAAGACTTGGTTCTGAACTTCGCGGACGTCCCAGGCCTTCAGTGCACCAAGTGCCAGATGCGCTGCCTCTATGTGCCGCGCCGGTAGAAGTGTGGCCGTTTTGGTGGCGGGGATGGTGGTGGAGTGGGAGAGCAGCGGCGGTGCGTGTTGGCGGGCCAACCGAGAAGAAGGGTTTGGTGTTGAACAGCGGAGAAAGATGTACAATGTATTCTTATTATTTCAAGGAGACGTCACTCACCATGGCCAAGTCGAACAGCTTGTTCTCAGAATTGGGTGGGATCCCTCGGAGCAAAACAACAAAACCCGGGGGAGCTCCAGCAACGGCCCCTGGACCCCCCCATCCCCCCAACTCCCCCGAGACGGCCTGGCATTGATTTGGTGAGGTTTGATCGAGGCCGAGGACTCCACGGTGGTGGGTAAACATCCACCAACGTCTGGTTCTTTGGTTGGGACGGTGGACGGGTTCTCCCCTCAAAACCTCAAAAGCTGGACAGACTTCAAGTAGAGCTTAGAACCTACATGGGAAGGATCAATACTGTTGACTATTGATTGATCAACCCCCTCCCCCCCCTCCAACAACCAAGGCCTCCAAAATAATATATACATATATACACTAGAAAACCAATTAGTTGATAAATAAAGAATCCTTACTTAGCTACCTCTGCAGCTACTCTGGCAATACTAAAATGAAAGGAATACAGAAACCTAACTTTGAAGACAGATGTTAAAATGAAAAGGAATCACGAAAACCTCAGATTGAAGACATCTGGAATATTACAATAAAAGGGAATCAATGGAAATGGAAATGGAACTCTTTAAATTTCAATGGACATCTGAATCCAACGACCTGCAAAATCATTCAATCTCAATGGAGTTCTTCAAAATTTCAATGGACATCTGAATCCAAAGACCTGCAAAATCATTCAATCTAAATAAAAGGAACCCCCAAACAGAAAATATTAATTCATAACACAATAAATACTATCCCACTACAACTACCCCTCCCCAAAAAAGAACTATTCTGGTGGCCTTTATTCATCTGTGCAGGAAAAAACTACATTATTCTAGGGGCGTCTATTAATCAGAGGTCAACATTAGAATGGTTCTACGATATACCGAGGTCATGCAACTGGAGCCATGCCCCAGAAGTTTCAAGACTCTATTTGGCACCATTTCGGGTCGCCTGACATTGGGTCACCTGTCGAAAAACCGTTCGATTCCCAGGGCCATCGTGTTGGACGACGTCGCTTCTCAGCTCCTCCGCTTTTCCCCTCCGAGGTGCACTCCGACTTGGGCGTCCACGATGGGAGCTTCACCGCCAAGGGGGTCCCATCGCACGACAGTCGCATGTTTATGATCTCGGTGCCCAGCGAGGCCGGGGGGGAGGCGGTGAAAAGGGCTCCGAAGAACGTCGTGACGGACCTTGACGGTGACCGTCACGAGACGAGGGACCGTCGCGCGGAGGGACCCGTCGATGCATCTGAAGCGTTTTTTCATGGACCATCATCTCTTTCAATGGGTTCGAAGTAACTCAGTCGTGGCCTGCTGGCGTTGGAGAACTGATTTCTGGTAGGGGACATCCTTCTTCCTGTCATCCAAAACCACATGGCCTCGATGATCCTCGATGCCTCCCCCTCGACAGGTCGTCTTCATGTGAAGAGCTTCTCGCTGGCTGCGGCCGTCCTTTTCTGGCTCCGGTCACCAAGCACCGGAGCCCGAGGCAGAACAGACCACGACCACACCGACTGGCCGCCAGGGCCGTCCAAAAGGCTGCGAGGGGCCGGCCGTGGGCGGTGGGTTGGGGCCGAGGGATGGTTTTTTCGTGTGTGGAGCGATGAGGAGGTGGTTTGCCATGGGGGTGACTCGCAAGATCTGAAGACGGAGCAGATGGGTCATTGAGCGACCACCCTATAGCGACCGATAAACAAAAGACAGCAGCCAGCTGGCTCCGGACTAGACTGAGTTCATCTTGCTGAACAAGTTGGATTTGCCGACGTTGGCATGGCCAGGAGACTTGGCTGAAGGACATTGACTCCTTACCTGCCAAGGCTGGGAGGGAAATGTTGCGGACATGCCACAGATGTGCCCCCCTTATGTCCTTTCGGTTGCGTGTGGCACACTCATAAGTCTCATAAGCCTCCAGCCTTGCTTTTACAGGATTGAGAAGGATTCCGCGGAGGGGGCCATATAGAAGGTGACTGTACCGTCCGTACCCAACCATTTTACATGATGAGTTTGTACTGCGGGTGCCCGGGGTGTCAATCAACCGGATACTTTTTGAGATTGCGGGACACCTCATTTCCTTGGCACATTTGCGCGCAAGTGCAGCTTGCAGATCCCATCCAGCTTGCTCTGGCAGATCCTATCCACAGTCACCAGTGATCCACCTGGTTGCGTGAGGCATTCAGTCTGTTTGGATGGACATTCATTCTCAAAGGGATTCAAAGGGATGCCCTCAGGCCGGCCGATCAGCTCGCCCCTCGCAGGATGATGAGGTGATCAGTCAGCATCGAGGCTTCTTAGAGTTGGAGCCCGGGGGCCCGGGGGAGGGGTCGACGGTCACGCAGGTGTCGACCTGGGATGTGATGGGGGGGGGGGGGGACCTGTGACGTGGGAGGAATGGAGGCCGGGCCGGGCAGGACGACCAGGAAGGGACAGGAGGCAACGGACCAGAAAGATTCAAGCGCGTTGGAATTCCGAACGTAGAAGGAGAGTGTTGTCGTGATCATGGCTGCCCAAGCGACCCGACCCATTGGGCCCAGCGACCCCGGGAAAACATGTAAAAACAGTTGATTGAGTGAAGTTTTACAAAACTAATATCATAGCATATCATAGCAGTATAACAAATCAAAATTTATTCCAAAACAACATAACAGTCCCAAAATATCAGTTTAAATATTCTTGTTTGCTTCATTTTCTTAACAATATCAAAACATAATTACCTCATTCAATTTTTCAAAATCATAGCAGTCAAAGCATACTTACCTCATTCATTTTT